TTTTTTTTTTTTTTTTTTTTTTTGGTTACAAGATTCTATACCAGACTGTCACAGGATTGAAGAAAGATTTATCAGGAGTTCAGAAGGTATGAAGAAAATGTATTACTGTTTCTGTGAAAACTCTTTTAAGGGCCATGAATGTAATGTCAAATATTAGTAGAATTAAATTAATGATATTTTGTATTATTAGTAAAGATAAATACTTTCAAACTCTGTGGGCATTTGCAGAAGTGTCCTAATATGTTCTTTCTAGCTGCAATAGTAACATTGGAAAATTTATTTATTTCTCATTCTGTCTCTGAATTGTTCTGTTGTTGTAAGTGAGGCATTTGTGTTTTTTGCATCGTACTCTTCATTTGTGAAGTGTTTAAGAATAGCTGTGTATTTCTTGATAGTTTTTGCAACCAGCTTAGAGAAACTGTGGAAGGTGGTCTCCTGTAAGTCTTTGAGGAGCAATCTCGTGAGTTGAGCAGTCTTTTTTTTAGTAGAGTGCTATGGTGTCACAGCTCACAGCAACCTCAAACTCTTGGGCTTAATTGGTTCTCTTGCTTCAGCCTCCCAAGTAGCTGGGACTACAGCGCCCACCACAATGCCCGGCTATTTTTTAGTTGTAGTTGTCATTGTTGTTTAGCAGGCCCAGGCCAGGTTCAAACCTGCCAGCCTTGGTGTATGTGGCCGGCACTGAGCCTGAGCAGTTTTATTGTACTGGATTCCTATAGTGTTCTTTTTTTTTTTTTTTCTTAAAACAATTCTGTTTTATTTTACATTTTAGAAGGGGAAGGATTAAGTAATTCTAATCCAGGCAATAATAAAGGCAGGCCTTATTTTTTCTTAATCTTGTCATTAAAGGCTTCAATGAAGTATCACAGTTTGCTTTTTGAGAATTTTGTCATTTCTGTGGGAAGAATTGGTTTAAGGAAATATATGACAGGTGTTATAGGGAAGTTGTGCTTTGAATTCCAGGGCAAGAAGATTTTGTAGGAACCAGGTAGAAAATCTTTCTGTACAATTGCCTTTTAAAGATTCCGTTTTAGTGGCTCAGCTCCCATAGCACAGTGGTTATGGCGCCAGCCACATACACTGACAGTGGAGGGTTTGAACCCAGCCTGGGCCAGCTAAACAGCTGCAACAAAAAAATAGCTGAGTGTTATAATGGATGCCTGTAGTCCCAGCTACTTGAGGGGGCTGAGGCAAGAGAATCACTGGAACCCAAGAGTTTGAGGATGCCACAGCACTCTACCGAAGGCGACATAATGAGACTCTGTCTCAAAAAAAAAAAAATGATTGGGTTTTGGGCATGATGGCCCATGCCTGTAATCCTAAGACACTGGGAAACCAAAGAGGATTGAGTTTAGGAAGTCAGGACCAGCCTGGCCAGGAGCAATACCCCATGTTTAAAAAAAATAGGAAAATTAGTGCCTATATTCCCAGCTACTTGGGAGACTGAGGCAGGAGGATTGAATAAGCCCAGGAGTTTGAGGTTGCTGTAAGCTATGATGATGCTATTGCATTCTAGCTGGGGTGACAGAGCAAGACACTGTCTCCAAAATAAAATAAAATAAAGACCCAGTTTTATCTTATAAGAAAGAAACCTCATTCTTCTAAAAATTGTTT